AGGTGGGCAGCCCAGGGCAGCAGTCGCACTCCTGGTCCCCAGTCAGGGCGGGGGGCAAGAGGTGCGAAGCAGCCACGGACTACCTTCACGCCCAAGCACTGTCGAGTCGGCCAGCACGTTGTCCCCACATCACAATGAGGACACTCGGGCTCCTTGCAGCCTTTTGTTTATAACAGGCAACGTCTACCCCCAGCCCCAATTCTTTCTGGAGCGTTGTCACCTGATTGCTCAGGCCAGCCCTGTCCCAGGACGTGGAATGGTCCTGTCCACACCGCGCGTAGGGACCCAGGCCACTCACAAGCTGGCCCCCCAGGAAACACGTGTGCCGAGCACAAGAGCTGAGAGGCGGCCTCCTGAGGCACCTGAGGGAGGCTGTGGACAGGTGCCCACTGTCCCCCTCCTTCCCAGCAGCACACTTGGCTGGGTACCCCCAAGTGACCCGAGGACCCAGGCTCCTGGCAATGTGCCCTCGTAGGGCTGCTGCTGTCCTGGCAGAGGTGCTTCCCCGACCACCCCGGGCAACTCGCCAGGGCCGTGCATGTGACATCTGAGGGGCAATGGCCCCCGACAGTCCTGGTGACCGGCCCAAGGGTCAAGTACAGTGAACAGAGGCCCTGGGCAGCAGCTGTGCTGTGTCCTGTCCTGCCACTGCCAGACTTGTCACGAGAGGACCCCTGGCACCGGAAGCACCTGACGAGCACTTTCTATCCTATTGGGGAGGGTTCTGCTTACTTCAAATACACCAGCCCCCAGCCGGCCTCGGCTCAGGGCCGGCATCACAAGGGCCCTGGGACCGTGGAGCGGGAAGTGGGGACAGGAGTTCCAATGGCCAATGCTGGGGCAGCAAAATGACTGAGGTGGACTGTGAGCCACAACCAAAATAAAGACCTGAGGCCGTCACGACACAGTGATGGGAAGCTGGCTATTACCGAATAACCGGTTAGGAAGGGGACGGTGAGGAGTCAGCAGCACGCAGCGCTCACCGCTGGATCCGCCACAGGTGCTAGAACCCGGCAACGTAAACCTGAGGTGACAGGGTGTGCGCACAGTCTGCTCACCAAGGAGACGATGACAACTGTGGTGAGAGGCGCCCTCACCAAGTGACCACCTTCATGTCGCCCACATCGTGCTGGGATGAGCAGGTGGCAGCTGTGTTATTCCCACCAAAAACATGTGACCATGAGACGTTCTACCAGAGAAGCGTCCAGACCATGAGAGGGGGGATAATGGCGCCCGTAAGACCCCTCACCGGCACACGATGTAGCGGATGACGTTGGCATGGCAGATGAAGATCTCGTAACTGTCCTCCTGCTGCTTGGTGTCTGCCCGGTGGATGTAACTGCGGAAGGCAGCCTCAATCCGGGCCCCGTCCTCGTAATACTGCTGGGGGCAGAGCGAGGCGCCTAAGCAGGCGGTGGCCGCCAGGCGGGCCCGGGGGCCAAGGGGCGGAGGGGCAGGGGCAGGGGACGGGAGACCACTGCTGCGGGCACTTTACCACAGCCTCCGGCTTCCAGTGCGACACGGGCGGGTCGGGCTCGATGGGGGCACCTTCCCTCAGCAGGTCTGTGCTGACCGTGGAGACACCTGCGGAGAAGCGGTGACTCAGCTGCCCCTGCCGAAGCCACTCCCAATCCCGCCTGCGCCCGAGGGGCCTAGGGTTGCCCGCGCTCACCTGGCAGGTGTTTACTGATGATGTCGGTGGTTTCCACCGCACGGGTCATGGAGGAATGCACGATTTTATTAAACTTCAACCCCAGGCTTGCAAGTCGGAGACCAGTCAACTCAGCCTGCTCACGACCTTGAAGGTGACACAACAGAGAATGACGTGTCCCTGGAGTCCCCCCTGTTCACTGCACAAATACCTACCCCAGGGGGTCAGGGGACGAGATGGGCAGGCCCTCTGGGGGTCTGGGCCTAACACTAGGGTGGGGGGTGGGTCAGGCCTTCAACAGGTAAATCCGTGAGACAATCGGTCACCTTCCGCCCCACCGGGAATGCGCTGACGGAGGAGGAGCAGGGCTGCGGGCGCTGAAGTCTGGGGCCCCGCTTACTATGGGCACTCACATCAGTTTGCGAAAAATTGAGTCCCCCTACCCCCTACTAATCCGCTGGCTGTGGGATCGATCATTGCAGGTATCAACGCGAAGACCCATGGCCTCAGCGTCACTAAGTACAGACTGGGAGCAGACAGAAAGCTTTTTCTCAAACACATCCTAGGGCCTGGCTGAAAACTTCCTCAGAACTTCAGCTGCAGCTGGACGCACCACCACCCGCGGACGCAGCTTCGCCTCCATGTGCGCGCCTGGCCCAGGGCCCCGCGAGGGCCACCGCGGGCTGCAGAACAGGCCGCTGGCCTCCATCCTGGCTGAACTCCTGATGTGTATGTGCACTAGTGGGTAACATCCCGTTCAACGGAGAAAGTTTTAAAAACGGAGACGCCACCCCAGACTTTCCCCAGAAGCTGACACAGGGATGCGCCTGTCCACAGGCAGGGACCAAGGCAGGACACGTCCAACGGCACCGCGCCCACGGCAAGAGGCCACGGAGAGGGACCTGAGCCTGCTGGCGCCCAGCCCGTGTTCTCACGGAGGGACTGTGAACGGGCAG